GGGGGGCAGGTGATAGACCTTTCTCCCATCCCTGCAGTCCCTCAGATCCCCCCAGCCACACCCCTGCTCTTCTGCCCCTGAGCGCTTGGCTGGCTCCACCGCAGTCTCCAATTGCACGGGTTCCCCTCCCGTCACAGGCCTGTCCTTGACTTTGCATCCACCATCCTCAGCACCACTTGGTGGAGATGCTCCACCTGTCCCCATCCCCAGCTCCTCAGCTCCTACGGTCTCCCCCATCTCTCAAGTGCCCGAAGAAGCTGGATTTTCCATGTCTCTTTAGTGTGTTTGAGACGCAGATCTCCCTTCTGCTGGGTCACTCCCTAAGCCCTACGCCAGCTGGACCAGGCTGAAGCTGGGAGCCTGAAGCTCCTTCTGGGTTTCTCCCTAGTGGGAAGGTGTGTGTGTGTGGGGGGGTGCCAAGATCTAACTAGGCACCTTGCCGGTGTGTCACATCTAACAGTCCTATCTCCCTCCTGACCAGTTTCTTCTGCCCACTCCCTGGGGCATCCCCGCCACCTGGAGACCTGCTAGGGGGCCCATTTGTCCTGCAAGCTATAGCTCAGTCACCTCTGGGAAGTCTCCCAACCCCCTGGCCTGACCTGGCCTGCTCTGCCACCCCCACTTCCTACCACCTCCTGAGTGCCCAGGAGAAGCCACCTCAGGCTCCCCTGTGCGCCTTTGCACAGGCCTGACGCCTAGTGGCCCTAGTGCTTCCTGCATGGGCTTTGCAACTTGGTCTCCTGCAAACACAAGACTTCCTGCCTCAGTTTCCCCACCTGTATGACAAGGTATACAGGACACCAGATGCCAACCCAGAACCTGGGGCCCGGCGTGTGGCCCAGCCGCTGAGCTGCTGCTTAGGATTCTGCCATTCCAGTATCAGAGGCCCAGGTTCAAGTCCCAGCTCTCTGCTCATGCGGCCTTGGGAAGCAGCTCGTGTTGGAGCGACCCAGCAGAAAGAAGAATTGTTTTTTCACTCTTTCTCCCTTTTAAATAAGCAAAGTATAATTTTAAAACATTGTAAAGTAGAATTGGACCCGGCGCAATGACCCAGCAGCTAAACCTTTGTCTTGCGCACGCCGGGGATCCCATATTGGCACCTGTTTGTGTTCCTGCTGTTCCACTTCCCATCCAGCTCCCTGCCTGTGGCCTGGGAAAGCAGTAAAGGACGGCCCAAAGCCTTGGGACCCTGCACCTGCGTGGGAGACCTGGAAGAGGCTCCTGGCTCCTGGCTTCGGGTCGACTTATCTCCAGCCATTGTGGCCACTTGGGGAGTGAACCAGCAAACAGAAGATCATTCTGTCTCCCTTTTTGTGTAAATCTGCCTTTCCAATAAAAATAAATCAATCTTTAAAGAAGAAACCCCTTGTAAACTATAGCAAAGATATGAAAATTATGAAAAAGAACAAAGAATGTCAAAATTTAGATGATGAAGTTATTAAAACTTTTTAAAGTTTTTTTTTTTTTATTTGAGAGGTAGATTTACAGAAAGAGAGAGAAACAGACATCTTTCATTTGCTGGTTCAGTCCCCAAATGACTGCAACAGTCGGAGCTGAGCCAGTTAAGGAGCTTCCCCAGGGCTCCCACATGGGGACAGAGGCCCAAGAACTTGGGCCGTCTTCCACTGCTTTTCCTGGTACATTTGCAGGGAGCTGGATCGGAAGTAGAGCAGCCAGAACTTGAACTGACATCCATATGGGATGCCTGTGCTGCAGGTGGAGGCTAGGTGAGCTATGCCATGGCAGCAGCCCCTTTTAAAATAATCAAAATGCCTGCAAGGTAGCTCTGGGAATGGTGTTTTGTGGGCAGACCCCCCCAGGAACTGAGTGCAGTGCTGTGCCCATTGCACAGATGGGAACACTGAGGCTCAGAGAATGGCCCTGGAAAGATATGGACCTGGGATCACCCAATCTTTTCCATGTTAGCAGGCTCTGAGGGTAAGAGTACCCAGGGCTGTAGGTGTGGGGGTCCCTCAGGGCAAGGCACAGTGGCTCTGGAGCCTGCCCCCACCAGCCTGGTGACTCCAGGAGACCAGGAGCCCACGGCAGAGTGGCCAGGATAGCAGGAGAATCTGGGACATAGTGTTCCCTGCGTGCTCAAGGCTGGACTGTGACGCACAGCGTGGCCCTGGGGCAGCTCAGCTGCGGCTGTGGGAAGAGGTCAGGGCTGCTGCCTCCAGGCCTCCCAGCTCAGCTGTGTGGCCCAAGGTCCTGTTCAGGGCGGGCTCCTGTGGCCTTAGATCAAGGGATTGTGGCAGCGCCTGGGAGCAGAGGAGCCCGGCCAAGGTCCCTGGCAGCCCCTGGGGAGGCCCCGGCTCTGAGGGAGCAGGCAGGCTAATGGAAAGTCAGCAGGGCTGGCATTGGAGGAGAGGGGGTAGAAGCCATAAGAACCCACTGCCCTTCTGCATGGTGATCAGGGGCTCCCCTCCCCAGGGGCCAGCGCACCCCGTGACCTTCTGCCTTGTCCTGTGTCCTGCTGTCTCTCTCTGTCCATAGCGTGCCCACCCCTGGTCTGCTGCTGGGTTGAACCACAGTAAGGTGAAGAGTTAAGCCTCTGCATGAGAAGAGGGCGTGAGGGGTCCCAGGGGATGACCCCATACACATCCCAGAGACAGATGGGGGCGTGTTCATTTGCCACAGGCCCTCATCACATCCCACAGCAGGACAGGGCTTTGTCTTGGCCAGTCTCTGACTGCAGATCCCAACCAGGCGAGAAAGCTGCCAGCTGCGGGGCAGTAAGCATCCTTGGACCACATGTGTGCGTGTAGGCATGTTCACGTGTACATGTGTGTGTGCCTTATGTGTGTGCACATGCATGCTTGTATTGTGCACCGTGTGTGTGTGCATTGTATCATGCCTGAGTATGTGTGTGGGTGCCTGTGTGTGCATTTCTGTGTCTGCATGTAGATTTCCCAAGGGGATAACCCTAGGAGCCAAGAAACCCATTTGTGTCACTGGGAGAAGAGTGGAGGAGAGAGAGAAAGGAGACAAATTTTCTTTGCAAAAACAAGGCCTTGTGCCCCTGCCAAACCCCAGAAGCCCACTGGGCATGGGCAGAATCAGAGCACACAGGGGCCCTGGCAGGGAAGGGTCTACTCTGTTTGTCGACTGAAGCAGCCGTTGAGAATAAGATGGACCAAGAATACTGCCTCCTAATTGGACCTGTCTGGTGTGGGCAGGGGTCTGAGCCCCAGGAAGTGTGGGGGGAAGCAGTACAGCCCACATGGCGTGTCATGGTGCAGTGGGCTTCTGACCCAAGCACTCCCCACCACATATGGGTGGTCTCCCAGCCCAGTCTCACAGCAACAGCTGGGTGGGGGCACCAGGCGGGCAGGCTGCAGGAGCCAGGACGGGAGCTCCAGGGGCTGGCCCTGGCATTGGTTAGAGGCAATCCAGCCAAGAGTGCTGGACAATGGCAGGTGACAAGTAGTGTCCTGCTTGCCAGGGTCCCCCTTCTTGGAAGCCAGTGCAACAGGGAGAGGGCTGTTCCCCCCGGGGGAAGCTAGACCACCAGTCCAGGTAGCATAGGCCCCACTGGGGGCAGGGGCGCAGCTCGGCTTTTTCAGGGGGCTCGGCCATGAGATCTCTCCCTCAAAAAGGCCACCAAGGCCCCACTAACTCACCTCTCCCTTCACCTGGATCCACCTGCTTCCTCCTCCTCCCTCCAGCTCCTTCCGTCTGGCTGTATGGGCTACTTTTTGTGCTGTTTGAGGGAACTGCCCTGGTTTTTTTTTCTAAATAGCCATAGGGAGTTTCTGTTAAGGCTTATTTATTTGAAAAACAGAGACAGGATGTTCCATGTACTGGTTCACTCCCTCAAAAGGTCATACTATCCAGGTCTGGACCAGATTTAAGCCAGGAGCCAAGAACTCCATCCTGAGTCTCCCACATGGGTGGCAGGGGCCTAACCACCTGAGCCATCCTCCACTGCTTTCCTGGGTACATTAGCAGGAAGAGCTGGATCGGAAGTAGAACAGCCGGGATTCAAACCCACGTTACAAGTGACGGCTGAACCTACAGTGCTACCACACCAGCCCCAGTAGGGAATTTCCAATGAGACAAAAGTGTATCGACCCAGCCGACGATGCCCCGGGTTTGCACATGGGCAGAGTGGAAGGCACCAATTGTTTTTGTCTATCTTGGGACCTTGGGCATGTCTCGATGCACCGTGAGGTCTTCTGGCACAGATTGTACGCGCACGCTGGCTCTACCAGGCGTTGGTGTTGGCACTGGACGGATTTTCCCACCTTGCTTTCCTCTTCAATAAAACAGGGATAGTCACAGGTGCTCTGCCCCTGCTCCAGGGATCAAAGGAGGCTGTCCTGACCCAGCTTGGGACACCCCCACACACGTGTGTCACAGGGCCTGGGTCTGACTTCCAGTTCTGCTCCTGTTCTCTGATGATGCATGCCCTGGGAGGCCTCAGGTGATGGTTCAAGGCCTTGGGGCCCCCGCCACGCGGGTGGGAGACCCAGTGGCTAGGAATTCTGTGTGTGAAATAAGTAAAATTTTAAAATACCTACAACAGAATAGTGAATGTTCGGTGAGTTGGTGACCCCTGACCTAGCATCCTCATCAGGCAGCCAGACCCTGACCTTGACCCCGAGTCCTGCTCTGGGTGTCCCAGATGCATTTTATGACCCCCTCCTCACTGTTGGACTGGCTGGGAGGGGGCTGCTGCTGGGGGTCTTAGGATGCAACTGTGATTCTGCCAAATTCGGCAGGCCCAGCCCATCCCCAAGCTCTGTTTGGCTGCTGAGGCTTGGTGTGCTGGGCTGGGACCAGGGAAACAAGAACAAATCAGGGGAGCTGACTTCGCTGACAAGGGCGAGGGGCTGCACCACAGCCACCGCTGTCGGGGAGTCACACAGACTGGGAGACTCAGGTCATGCGCACTGGCCTCTGGCTGCTGCTCCATGGGACTTCTGAGTGTGTGTCGGGGGGAAAGGGGCACCCCCTGTGGCACAGCAGGCTCAGCCCTGGACTCCGGGATACCCCAGGAGATGAACAACTACCGGCGAGCCTTGCAGAGGATGGCAGAGGACATCCTGTCGCTGCGGAAACAGGCCAGCCTCCTGGAGGGGGAGAACCGCAGGCTGCGGAGCCAGCTGGCCCAGCAGGAGGCTGAGGAGGAGCAGGACTACGCGGGAGAGGCAGCCCAGAGTCTGGGTGAGGATGCTGCCTGCTGGGAGAGACCTGTTGGCACTGTTGCCCTGGTTGGCATTGACTTTGCTGATCGGAGCCAGGAGGCCGCCTTCCCTGGCCTCTCCCCGCTCAACCACGCGCCCCCACAGTGTCCATGAAGGAGAAGCTGCTACTGACGGAGCTGGATGTGAAGAAGCTACGGGACAAGGTGCAGCAGCTGCAGAACGAGCTGATTCGAGTTGAGTGAGCTGGGGTTCCCGGAGTAGGGTTGTGCAGGGAAACAGTGGGCCCTGCCCGCAGGGAGGAATCCCTGGACAAATGTGGAACCCAGGTACCCACACTGTGCCCTTCTCGGGATTCCCTACAGAAGAACGACCGAGAAAAGGAGCTGCTCCTCCAGCAGCAGGTGCCACAGCCACAGGCCATGCTGCTGAAGCGATACCAGGACAAGCTGCAGAAGATGCACGCGCTGGAAGACATCGTGCGGCACCAGGAGAAGGCAGGTGTGGGCTGCCCCGCCATGGGCCTGCCCCATGGGAGGCCTGGGTCCACCTCCAACCCTGCCCCACCACTAGCAACCCAGCCAGCAGCCAGCACAGGTTCTGTGCTCTGCCTGGCAGGTGATTGAAAAGATGGAGCAGAAGCTGAGGGACTGGAGTGAGGCCCCGGCCCAGAGCAGGCTTCCGGAAAAGCCCAACATGAGTAAGTGAAGGGGCTAGGTTTCTCAGCTTTCACACTCCTCACCTATCACATCCATCCTAGAGGAGGAGCAGGCCTCCTAGGATGGATGGATGGCCTTCCAGAACCTTCTGGAACATTCCAGAGTCTTTCAGTCCCAGGACCGTGGGCCCCTAAGCACTTGCATGGGGGGTCTCCAATGCGAAAGCCAGGCTAGGGCTTCCTCAGCAGGACCCTTTGGAAACATGCCACCAGCCTCTAGGTCTTTGAAGAGCCTGCCCCTAACAAAGCCAGCGGATACTTGGATGATTTTCTTCTCTGGGCAATGTTAGCCAAGTGCCATGCCAGGTCCTTGGGGAAAGCTCTGGTGCTGTGTTGGGGTGGGGGATTGCGTCTAGGTGAGAGAAAGAGGAGGGCGCTGAAATCCACAGAGCAGACACAGGGGGCCAGACCCTGCCTTACGGACCCCTTGGCCACACAGGCGGCCCCCAGCTTCCCACCACAGGCTATCCTCTGGGCTCGAAGGGAGAGAACTGGCCGATGGACATGTACTCAGTGCTGCTGGCGGAGAACTCGCGGCTGCGGGCTGAACTGGACAAAACCAGGCACCAGTCGGCCCCCATCATCCTTCAGCAGCAGGCCCTGCCGGTAAGAGCTGAGGCCGTGGCCGTGACCATGCCGGTGGTCGCCTGAGCTGGTCAGCACATGCACAACCAGGTTTCCACTGTGGCCTGGGCTCTTCACTCGCTCTTTCCCCTGATCCCTAACCCCTCCACTCCTCCTCACTAGCCTCTATCTAGACCCACACAAAGCATGTCGAAACCCCCCACTGGGTGCATTTCCTGGTGAGGCTGAGGGGAGAGCAGCCTTGGAGAGCCCCTTCTCCCCCATCCCAGGTGGACCCCGGGGAGCTGGGAGCAGGAGATTTGGGACAGAGGCTGCGTGAGACGGCTGGTGCGGGCTACCCCACGGGCACAGAAACCCTGCCTGTGCAGGTGGGTGTCCCCGAGCCCCACATCCCTTCTGAGGCTGTCCCAGATACCTGCCGTGTCCTGCCCCCAGCTTAGCGTGCACCTGTGAGCAGAGCATTTGGGATTAAGGAAAAGGGCCCCCGTGCCTGCTCTGTGGATTTCAGCACAGACTCCCTGCACCCTCCAGGGGTGAACCCCACCTGGGGTCACACCTGATGGCCACATGCAGCTTACAGAGGAGAGGCGTGCTGCACGGTCCTCACTCCGCCAGGCCCTCAGGCCCTCTGTGCTCCATACAGACTCCAGGGCAGGTTCCACAGTGATAGATGGAACTGCAATGCCGGGGGGGGGGGGGGGGGGGGGGGGTGGGAAGCTGAGTCTGGCCACAGCCCCCGGGCTGCCCCAGCTCACATGGGCTGGCCCTGTGTAAGCAACAGCTTTGCCCATAGGACCTCCTGTCCGGCAGCTCAGACAAGTTTAACCTGCTGGCCAAGCTAGAGCGCGCTCAGAGCCGGATCCTGTCCCTGGAGAAAGAGGTGCGTGAAGCTCAGAGATTCACCAGGCTGGGCTGGGCTAGGCTCACCCGGGACAGTGTCAGGGTCAGGGATCAATGTGTGAGCAGGGTCCAAGCTCAGGATGTGAGCTGGCTCAGGGCTCAGGGTGTGAGCAGGCTCAGGGCTCAGGGTGTGAGCAGGGACAGGGCTCAGGGTGTGAGCAGGCTCAGGGTTCAGTGTGTAAGCAGTGTTCAGGCTCAGTGTGTAAGTAGGGTTCAGGGTGTGAGCAGGCTCAGTGCTCAGTGTGCAAGCAGGCTCAGGGTTCAGTGTGTGAGCAGTGTTCAGGCTCAGTGTGTAAGTAGGGTTCAGTGTGTGAGCAGGCTCAGGGCTCAGGGTGTGAGCAGGCTCAGGGCTCAGTGTGTGAGCAGGCTCAGGGCTCAGTGTGTGAGCAGGCCAGGCCTAGTGTGTGAGCAGGCTCAGGGCTCAGGGTGTGAGCAGGCTCAGGGCTCAGGGTGTGAGCTGGCTCAGGGCTCAGTGTGTGAGCAGGCTCAGGGCTCAGGGTGTGAGCAGGCTCAGGGCTCAGTGTGTGAGCTGGCTCAGGGCTCAGTGTGTGAGCAGGCTCAGGGCTCAGGGTGTGAGCAGGCCAGGCCTACTGTGTGAGCAGGCTCAGGGCTCAGGGTGTGAGCAGGCTCAGGGCTCAGGGTGTGAGCAGGCTCAGGGCTCAGTGTGTGAGCAGGCTCAGGGCTCAGGGTGTGAGCAGGCTCAGGGCTCAGTGTGTGAGCTGGCTCAGGGCTCAGTGTGTGAGCAGGCTCAGGGCTCGGTGTGTGAGCAGGCTCAGGGCTCAGGGCTCAGGGTGTGAGCAGGCCAGGCCTAGTGTGTGAGCAGGCTCAGGGCTCAGGGTGTGAGCAGGCTCAGGGCTCAGGGTGTGAGCAGGCTCAGGGCTCAGTGTGTGAGCAGGGGCAGTGTCCTGTGTATCAGGACATTGGGCTCAGTGTGTTGCTGCAATGCACAAAGTTCCACTTGTGTCTCGGGTAGCAGCTCTAATGTGTGCCCTCCCTTCCCCTATTACCCTTTGACATCTTGGGAAGATCAAAGCCACACTTCCCAGAGCTTCGCTGTCCACCCAGAAAACAGGCACCGGCCTGCTTTTTCCTGCCCCTCAAGGGACAGGCCCCTTGCTACCCACTGTCCCAGTTGTCCCGCCTCTGCTTGTAGCTGGAAGATTCAGCTCAGCGCTGGGGACGTGAGAAGCAAGACTTGGCCATACGGCTGCAGGAGCAGGACCACGGCTTCGTCCACCCCTCTGGCTCCATCATCCTGGATCCCCCTGTGAGTCAGCCCTCTGTGGGAGCAGCACCCTCCTGGCCCACCTTACCCCTCAAGCCACAGGACACTGAGAAAAACTGAGCAGGGGCCACTCTGGGTCTTGCTCTGTCACCACCCTTGCTAAGCCAAAGCCGCCTGTGACCCTGAGAGGCCGGAAAGAGGTGGCTCTGGTTACAGGCAGCCCACATGGGCATCTTGGGTGCTCCCACAGGCAGCCTGTGGCCCCCAGCCCCTGGACTGCACAGCCATAGATGGTTCCACACAGCCCCCTGCCCAAGACCAAAGGGGTTCACGACTGCCCCCTACGCCCAGCCCAAGGTCTCCCAAATCAAAGGCCAGGATACTATCTCTCTCAGCCGGCTGCACCTTACTCATGGCCCCAGGTGTGCGTGGTGGCTCCCCTCCAAAGGGCAAGGGGACAGACAGGGGCACACCACTGGGCACTGTGGACATCTCCTGAGAAGTCAGGGCCCCCTGGGTTTGGGAACCTGCCAGGCCTGACCAGTTTGGAGCGGGGGAGGGGGGAGGCGTGGCATGTGGCACTCCGTCTTCTCACCTTGCAGCCCCGGAATACCTCTGTCCACTCCAAGGACCCCCAGAGGCCGTCACAGCTGGAGGTTCGTCCCCTGGCCTCAGACACGAAACTCAACACAGCCCCGGATGTCCAGCAGTCCTGAGCCCTCCATCCCAGCCCAGCTGTAGCCACCCCCCGCCCCCCGCCACCCTGTGACTTAATAAACCCTGGAACGCAAGAGCATCTGACTCTTTCCTGGAGCATGGAGCCCTGGGTCAGCTACCACCTTGTCTTCCTACTGTCCCTCCTCCCAGGGCCAGGAGCATCGCAAACAGCCCAGAGGACCGGGAGGTGGCGGGACAGCAGCCAGGAGGAGACAGGAGGCAGGCTGCAGTTCTCCACCTGCCCCGAACATTGTCCTTCCACGGGGAATGGAAAGAGTTGCAGCCTTCCTGTGCCTTGGATTCGGCCAGCCAAGGGCCAGGGAGGGCCAGGCCTGTGCTGGTGCTCAGGTCATCTAAAAGCCAGGAAATTGACAAGAAGGCTGACACTGGAACATTCCCACACTACTGCAGGCCACTGCCAGCAGCCCAGGGCATGAACAAGGGGCCACACACAAGAACATGAAGCAGAGGTCCCTGAGGTGGACCAGGCATGAGGGGTGAAGGATAAGCGGAAACCTGCTGGCCTTGGTACCCGTGGTCAGTGGCCTCACACTCACGCTCAGGCTGTAGGATGTCCTCACGACCCCATTGCGACTCCCACTCCGGTGTGCAGCCAAGCAGCTCTCCCCATTCCCGCAGCAGGGGTCCACCTGCCTCTTTGTTGGCTGCTCCCAGGCCCCCTGTCCCTCCCAGGCCCTCCTGAGAGATCCCAGGGAGCCTGGATGGTCAGTCCTGAGGTCCCCTGAGTCTGCCCTGGGGTACCAGCACCCCAAGAATCCCAGGGGAGTGAAGACCTTCCATGTGGTTTGCAGCTGTTTTATTGCCTCGGCAAAAGGAGAGAGAGAGCAGCAGGGTGGAGGTGGGGCTTTCCCTGCCCGTCACACGGCAGGGGTGTCCTCTTTAAGAGGCCGGAAAGTTAAGAAGATGGGCTTTTCCGGCACCAGGATGAGGCTGAACTTGGTACCCACATCACTGAGCTGTTGGAGTTCAATTTTGAAGTTCTCCAGCATCTGAAGAAGGTGGTGGGAGGGGGTTTAGGCTGAGGCAGGAGGAACAGGGTCCCACCCCTGGGGCCAGGCCTGCTGGATGAGACTTGGGTGAGGATTACAGATACCCCTTTCAGCCCTGCATACGGTACTTGGAACTTGATCTTAAGCCCCACTCCCTTCCTGTCACCACTTCTGGCAGGGAGTAGGAGAGGGTAGGTGCCAGCTGTGAGCTGCTGGACAAGCTGGCAGCAGGGAACCAGGATCAGGCCAGGGCTGGAATTGAAGACAGAGGGATGCAGCCCACGCACCCCAGGCTTGGGCCCCACGTTGAGGAGTGATTGGTGCCAGCATGCCAGACTCACGTGGATGAGGAAGAGGCTCATCTCCGTCTCCGCGATCCGCCGGCCCAGGCACTGGCGCAGGCCCCAGCCGAAGCCCAGGTTCCGGAAGTGGGTAATGGTCTTGTCGTTGCTTAGCCATCGGGAGGGGTCAAACTTCTCTGGGTTGTCAAAGAAGCTGGGTTCTCGGCCCATGGCATAGTTGGACACCTGCACCAACGTCTAAGGGTGGGAGATAGAAGGAAAAGAGGAGCAGAGGCCCGAGGGAGGCCCTGCCGCAGCACCCAGCGATGTAGGGATGCCCCCAACCCCTGCCACTGACCACCTGATACCAACAGCCTGGACCCAAGCCTCACCCATCAACATGGGGTCTTTGGAGTGCCTTGTGCATCTGGGCAGTGCCCCGGGGCCCCTGACTGTGCCCACCTTGGCTGGTATGAGGTAATCTCGAAGGACCAGGTCGTTCACGAGGTATCTCTGCAGTGTCACAGAGATGGGGTGCAGCCTGAAGGAGATGGGGTTCAGGAGCCACTGGCCCCAGGCCTGGACACAGGCCATGCCCCCTGCCGCACCCCTCCCCCATGCACATCTGCTGAAGGCTCCTCCAGGAGCCAAGGATAGCTGTATTTCTGCCCCCCCAACCCAGCCTCCTCCCCAGGGCTATGCCCATCCAGGGTGCAGGGCAGCAGGTATGGTGGGCCTGCACTTGCCTCAACGTCTCCTTGATGCTGGCCTTGAGGAGTGGCACCAACTGCAGCATCGCAGCTGTGTTTCCCTGGGCCTGGCGCCGGGCAGCAAGGACCTCTGCCCGCAGCATCTCCTGCACGCTAAGGCAGCGCCCCATCTCGTACAGGTGCCACTGCAGGGTCATCGACGTCTGGCGGGGGGAATGCAGAAGACCGGGCGGGACCGTTACAGTCTCAAACAGTCGGTATTCTCACGGCGGAGAACCCGTCTTTCCTCACTGTCCTCTCAGCCCCAGTCTCCAGGAACCTCAATGCCAAGGTGAAAGGTAACGCTCTGAGAAGGCTGTCTCCCCTGGGTGGCCCTCACTCTGCATGGAACCCACCTGTCTCCCCACAGAAGGCTCAGCAACACCCACGTCTGTCTGTCTGTCCCCAGCCACCTTCTGGGTCCTCAGCTTCAGACACAACATCTCCAAGGATTATGTTTTGGTCAAGAGGTTCACATAGCCTCCCGTCTCAGTTCTACATCATCACGGGGCACCCCAGGTAAAGTGCGACCAAGACCTGGCCTGACACTCTGCTCCTACTCCCCCTCTACAATGGGCTGCAGGTTCTTCAGCCTCCAGCCTCCCCCTCCCCTCCCATCCCCTGCATGCACTTCCTGCTCCAGCTGCAGGAAGCTACTTGCAGGAGCAGAAGGCTGTAAATCAGTCCCTGCCTCTTTCTCTTCACAGAGTCCCTTTCCCCATGTAGGTAGTAAATGTGCCCGGGAGGGGGTGCTGCCACGCTGGTGGGGAAATGGAATTAAACCATCAGTTTATTTTGATAAACAAAAGAACATGAACCTGGGGCTGTTGCCACCTGTGATACTGGCATCCCATAAGAGCAACGGTTTGCAACGATTTGAGTCCCAGCTGCTCCCCTGCCGGTGCAGCCCCCTGTTAATGTGCCTGGGGAAGCAGTGGAAGATGGCCTGAGTCCTTGGTGCACGCAGGTGGGAGAGCCAGGTGGAGTTCCAAGCTCCTGGCTTCAACCCTGTCCAGCTCTGGCCATTGTAGCCATTTGGGAAGTGAACCAATGAATGGAAAATGTTTTCTTTTGTCTCATCTCCTTTTATCACCTCCTCTTTCTTCTCTCTCTCTCTCTCTAAGTCTCCCTTTCATATAAATAAATATTTTATTTTATTTTTCTAATTCGCAAAGACCATGCATACAAGGACTCTTTTTACAAGAGACCCTTTTTCCCAGTCACATTCATTTCCCGTGACCACTTCCAAGGCTTGCACACATAAGAACTGGGAAAGAAGAGCCCAGATTCTGTGGCTGTTTCCTTGGCTGTTATTGTGTTATTGTGTTATTGTGGAAGCCCCATTCCCTGGGGTGCAGGGTGGCAGGGTTCCTAGCTAATGGCTACGGAAAAGGGATACCCCAGCCCTGTCTCTCAAAGCTTGTGCTACACTTGCAGGTAGCACTTGAAAGCGGTAACCAAGTTCCAACGCCAAAGTAGGCTACACTTAATCCGACCCCACTATGCCTTTCTAGGAAACCACTATTGTCAAGTCCCTCGGACAGGGTGCCCCGGGCTCAGACTGGAGTGGGGTATGGTCCATAATGGTCCTCACCTAAGCCCAAGAGAAAACAACACTGCTGGCTGCATCTCTGTTATGGATTCTGGCTTATCTAGAGCTGCTAAGGGAATGAGGCACCCTGAGACTCCAGTCCCCAGGGCTGTGTGCACTGCCCTCAGCAGCTCTGATCTCCCTAGGCCATTCAGGGACACCGCTTCCATTTTCATAATCTGTGGGCTGATGTCACAATTCATCATCAAAAATGCTGACTAACAAACTCTCACTGTCCGGGATGGGGAGCACACAGGTGCACTGGCACCAGGCAGGAAGCGCCCCCACCCCTCAGCACACCCCAGCAGCCTCCCTGCTCCCCTGCAACCCAGCCCGTATCGCCTCCCCCATGCTGAATGGGGGATGTCTCTCCTTCTCTCCCCCAAAGCAAACCCAGCTGATGAATCTGGGGCCTCTCCCATGGGTGGGATTCCCTGGTCCCGCGCAAAGCAGCCCCTCACCGTGTCCACACCTCCAGCCAGCATCTCAGTGACATTGGCCTTGATGTCCTCAAAGGACAGCTTGCTGCTCCCCACGAGGTTGCAGAGGATGCCGCGGTAGCTGTTCCCAAGCTCCTTCCTCTGCCGCAGGTCCCAGTAGAAGTTCTGCGTGTATTTGTCAGCTGGGGGTGGGGAGAAGGTAGGAGCAGGAGAATCAAGAGTGGGCCCCGCACCCTCAGGTGGAGGGGTGGGAGGAGGAAAGCCAGCCCCGGGCGAGCCCTTCCTATCTGCTCTGTTTAATTCTTAACCACCCTGTGTGCTGGGGTACATGCTATTACCCTATTGTGCAAACTAGAGACAGGAGTCACTCCCCAAGCCTTCTCAATTTACCAACCTCACCAACCCTTCACCCAGAACGCCTCTGAAAAGCTGTCTTCCCCACCTTTTCCTCCAGAAGATTCTATCACCCTCAACCTCCCCCAAGAGCCAGCCCCTACTGCCAGACCAGGCTCCCAGTGCCCCCTTGGTGCCCACCAGAGGCCCTCACAAGTCACAAAGCAAGGTCCCCAGGGCTTCCAACTGTGGCTTCTCCACTCCCAGCCAAGGTGAACCAGACCGTGCCACTCAGCCAGCCTCCCTGTGCCCTTTCAGGCTATGGCTGAGTGTGAAAGAGCTCACCTTTGGTGAAAATCACATCCCATGCGGCCACATGCTCCCTCCAGGTCTTGGTCCTGAAGAGGCGGAAGAGGCTGGGGGGCAGGCTGAGCATGGGCACGCTGGTGTGGAACATCTGGTAGACCGCATCGATGAAGCGCTGGGCCTCAGGGTCCACGGTCTCTTCCAGCATCCCCAGGCGCTCCCCGAACATGACATTGGTGATGGCTGCAGTAAAGAGCATGGGTATGGGGGAGCCCAGAGCTCCCTGCAAACCCACCCCAGCACAGCTCCTGCACCCCACCTTGGCTTCCATCCCTCAGGAAGACACAGGGCTAAAGAAGCAGGGCTCAGAAAATTCACTCTTGGGGCAGCCACTGGGGTCCATGGAGGAACACATAGAAGACCCCGAGGAGGTCTTTCCCCGCAACCCCCATATACCCACAAGAGCCTGGACGGGCCCCCCCGGCTCGGCTGGGACTACACCACGCCCACTGCCCCCAGGACAGTTCCCATCTATAATGGATGGAGGATGGAGCCACTGGGAATGTGGCTTTCCAGGACAGGATCAATATAGTCTCCCCCACCCAGAGGAGAAAGGACTTGATCCCAAACCGGCTAGTGGAGACAAGGTGGACAGCACACTGGGCGGGACTTCCAGGAAAAGAATGGAACCCCACTCCCTCCTCCACCCAGGCCTAAGTCCAGCAGCAGGTGCCCGCAGGGGGGCCCTTACACTCGAAAGCAAAGCGGAACAGGTCGTGGCTGATATCTCCGGAGAAGGCCCCGGAATCCTCCCGTTGAATGCGCTTGTGCAAGACCCGGACGAAGTCCTGGGACACGGCCTCCAGGAGGGGCACAAAGTTTTTGATAGCCTGTGGGGCCATGACCTCTTGGTTCAGGGCCATTCGGTCTTTCTTCCAGGCCTCGGACTTCCTGAGAAAGCACAGCCCCCTACCATGTAACAGAGCAAACCTCCCACCCTCCAGCCGCCACCCAGAGCTGGGTACCAAGCCCCCTGGGAAAAGCAGCAGGGGGCTGCTGCTCCATCTGGGACCTGGCTGGGCTGCATTGCTCCTGCTGCTGCTTGCTGTGGTCACTGCAGGGCCCCTCGATGGCAGTTTCCCTGACCCTCCCCTCTTCAGCACCTCAAAGCACCCCACAGAGTTCACTGGGATGGGAGGGCATCCCTGGTACAGGACCTGGAGTCAGTTTGTGGCAAACCGCATTCCAGAGAAGGTTCTGGAAACTGCTCCCTCCACTCTGCTTTCTGATGATAGTTATTGTAACTCCCATCCCTCATCTCTTAGCGGGGAGCGGGGTGGACACTGGGAATACACCATCACTCAGACACCCTCCCCATCCAGGGAACTGCCCACTTGCGGGCTCCACCTGCTTTTCCTCCACCCCAGCACAGTACTCACTTTTTTATCCAGTATTCACTAATTTGTAAAAAGGACTTTTTTTAAAAAATGTATCCTTGGGGAGCTGGCATTGCGGCACAGTAGATTAAGCTGCTACCTGTGATGCCGGCATCCCACATGGGAGCGTCAGTTAAGAGTCCTGGCTGCTCTACTTCCAATCCAGCTCCCTGTTAACGTGCCTTGGAAAGCAACAGAGGATGGCCAATGGCCCAAGTGCTGCCACTCACTTAAACAGGACTCCCAGGGGCCTCTGGTAGTACTCATGGTAGGCGACCCAGGGCGGGATGAGATACCGCTCCGGTCTGGAACCTTCGGACTTAAACAGCAGGGCCACATCTTCAGGGTCAATGATGAACACAGACTCCACGTTGCCCAACTTCTCCCTGGACGGTGGGGGGGGGGGGGAGGAATGAGGAGAGAAGACACTGAGCTCAGCAGGTTGTTCCAGAATGCATAAACACAACCTTTGTGAGGCCAGCCCAGGACGCAGTCACATCCTGCGGTCCACATCTGCGAGGCTTCCCCTCGTCCCCCGTCCCCACTGCCCACCTTTTCTCTCCAGCCTCAGATGGAAGGACAGATGGAGGCTGCACGCACGCCCCCACCTCACCTCCTGGCAGGTCGCGCCCTCAGCCTCCAGAGCCAGGAGCCTCTTCCAGGTCTCCCACACAGGTGCAGGGGCCCAATGCTTTGGGCCGTCCTCGACTGCTTTCCCAGGCCACAAGCAGGGAGCTGGATGGGAAGTGGCTCATGCAAGACGAGGACATTAGCCGCTACGAGTCACTTCTGATCCAGGCCTCTGCTAATGATTTGGGGAAGTAGCGTGCACATGGGAGACCTGGAAGGAGCTCCTGGCTCCTGGCTTCAGGCTGACCCAGCTGCAGCCATTTGGGGAGTGAACCAGTGGATGAAAGATATTTCTTTATATGTATGTCTCTCTCTCTCCAAACCCCGTTTTCACCACTGACTCCTCGAAGCTTGGGAAACCTCTCCAAGTCACTCCCTTGTCCACGGCCTCCTGCAAAAAGCCCCTAGGGATCATCTCCAACCCCAATGTCCTTGTGTGACCAGCTCCATACCCCCACCCTGGCTCGCATGGTCCTTGATGTGCTGTTAACACTCTCAATGCCACTTCTGGGAACCCTGCCCAAGCAATAGTCCAACACAGCTGCCACGCAGGCTGGCAGCTCCTGTGAGAAGACAGGATGGTGAGAAGTGGCCTGCCAGTCTTACCCCCACTCTGGGACCTGGAGCTGCCAGTCCTACCCACCCCTACTCCAGGACCTAGAGCCCACCATGAAGCCTGCTGTACACTCAGAACAATCTTAGAAAAAAAAAAAAAAAGAGGAAAAAAGTCTTTGGGCCATGGCTGTAGTTCCACACAGCAGATCTAACATGAGGGGCTTTAGAAAGTTCTGGCCAGCGTTGTGGCACTGTGAGTTAAGCTGCCATCTGTGACACTGGGATCCCATAGGAGGACCCTGCCATTCCCATGGGAAACCCAGACGAAGTTCCAGGCTCCTGTCCCAGCCTGGGGAATTGTGGCCATCTGGGAAATGAATTAGCAGATGGAAGATCTCTCTTTTTCTCTGTAACTCTGCTTTTCAAATAAATGAACAAATTCTTTAAAAAAAAAAAAAGTTCATGGAAAAATGGAATTAAAATGGAATACCAAAAAACTACTTTAAAATCCATGCATATTTGTCTCATCTTATGCAATGTCCACGAAGACCCCTCCTATGTATGATTTCAAAATATCTTGCACCAGAATAAACTTGTCTTTTTTTTTTTCCAGTAATTTGCTGATTTTTATTTGAAAGACAGAGTTACAGAGAAAGAAGAGACAGAGAGAAAGAGATGACCTGCCCCCTGGCTCACTCCCCAAATGTCTCTAACGGCTGCAGCTGGGCTGATCCAAAGCTAGGGGTCAGGAGCCTCTTCCTGGTCTCCTCCGTGGATGTAGGGGCTCAAGCACTTGGGCCGTTCCCCACTGCTTTTCTAGGCCATTAATAGGGAGCTTGATGGGAAATGGAGCAGCCAGGACTTGAAGTGCTAGCACTGTGGGCAGAGGCCTAGCTTGCTATGCCACAATGCCAGTCCCAAGTCCACTTTCCAGGATCTTTTGGAAGCCCCCCTGTGTACTCAGATGTGATCGTTGGGGTGTGGAACCAATGCAACAGCGGTGTTTACTCACACATCCTAGCAGCTCCCCAGGGAGCGGAAGCAGCCTTGCTCTCACGGGAGAATACCCAGAGGCTATATTGTGAATGCCTTGCTTTGCTCACACGTACATCATTTCCAGACTGTCCCCGGTACGCCCTTAGGACATTCTGTGTCCTGCTGAGTGACCTCAGCAAATCCCTCCTCCTTTTAAACCTCAACCTGCCAATCCGTAAAATGGGAGAAAACACACCAACTCCCATCCCCTCCCTGTCCTGTCCCCCAAGGACAAAGCTGATAATGACTCAGATCACAGGAAAGAGGGAGGCGGGGAAGAGGAGGAGCAACCGTAACCACGGTAGGAGAAAGGTGCTTGGGACGGCCTGGGGAAGGGAAAAGGGCAGAGCTTAGAAGGACAGACTTTTCAAAAATCCCACCCTGGGGTGATGGGGGAGTGGGGTGTGGGGAAAAAAAAAGGAGGGGGAAGAGCCACTGCTGGCCTTCCCCCGGCCCCCCAGTCATGCCCATCCTCTCATTAGAAGTCTCCATGTAACACGGGGCCAGTGGCGCAATGGATAACGCGTCTGACTACGGATCAGAAGATTCTAGAAGTCTCCATGTGTAGACCCATTCCTTAAAGTACCATTTGCACCCGGGAGCTGCCTCCTCCCACCTCTTGTCCCTGTGCCAGAGATTGCAGGTGCACCCCACGCAGAACACCGCTAAGGTGAGGGCAGCGCAACCTCTGGGGACTTCGGGGTCCGGTGGGGGCAAAGTCTAACCATCCTCTTCCACCTCCTCAAAGCTAACAGGTGTTTGGGAAAGTCAGGAACCTGTGCACCTGCCCCAGGATCAAAGGTGAGGTTGACGCCCAGCAGGACAGGGGTCCAGCTAGGTGAGCAGGTAGCAAGGAATCTGGGACGCCTTCTCTCACCTGCCCAGGTGTTGTCATCGGAGTGGGAGGGAGACAGTCAGCAGGCTGTGCTCCACTTTCATCCCCTGCAAATCTAGGAACTGGGGAGCCCTGACTTTCTCCCCCCCAGTACCCACCCTAGGCCTGGAAAAAACAACAAGAGACTCCCCCAAAGGGCATGGAGAATAGAGACTCCCCAATAGGTTGTGGAAGATGGCATGAAAAGGTAAGGCTCTGAGAGGTGCTGGGAAGCACAAAACAGCCGTGGAACCGGAGCCAGTGTGTTGAAAATATTCCTTTTCCACCAAGTTTGTGAAGTTAAATCAGAAGATGGAAGTGGTGAGGCTGGGACAGACCACTGACAGAGGAAGGGCTGGGTGAGGGCACGAGGGATGGGGAGCAAGGGAAGGGGCTGGGGGTTTGGGGGAGCAGACAGGCTTACCTATAAATTGGGCCATACTTCTGGAAGTTCTGTACATGGTGGTAATGGATTCTGTGTGGGCCATTCTCCCTCCAGAAGTGATACAGATTGAACCAGCCGTTGTCCCCCGGGGAGGGAATCTCGGGATAGGGCCGAGGGCTGCTGCGGGGAGCTCCTGTTGCAGGCTGCTGCTGCTGCTGCTGGGCAGTGCTCAGGAAGCCCTGGCATGCTCTGAGCAGGGCAGAGCGTGAGGGGAGCCCCCTGGCCTGCATGCTGCTCAGCTCTCTGTCCCTGAACCCCCAGGGACCAGATTTATAACCCACAGCTCAAGGCTAACCCAGAGCAGTGAAACCCTAAGCCTTCCTCCCTCCCTCCCTTCCCCTCCCTCCTTCCCTCCCCCTCCCGCTCTCTCCCTCCTCCTCCTCTGGCTGGGTCTGCCCACACCACATACCTCCCCAGACTCAAGTTGTGCAATCCAGTCACAAAATGGAGTTACTTTGGCTCAGACCTGTTCTAGTCTGCTAACCTGCTCTTTATGTTTCTGTACAAAGTGCTTTGCTAGCTTTTTGGGTCAACACACCTTCAGTTTCAGGACCTGATGTTGCATGTTTTGCCACACTCTGTTTCCCAGGCCTCCCAGCTCACCCATTCTGTAAAAAACCCTTGTAACCCTCATTCGGGGGTCATTCTCTGAAGGAAAGGGGAGCTGACCCCGACCGATTGGTCTGTTTACCTGCCTCCTCAATAAACTTTGCTGTTTAGCAGAGTTGTCTGGGCTGCACTTCTTGGAGAGAGACTTGGGTTGGATGCAGCAAAGATAAGATTCCTTCTGTGTCACTGCAGCCTGAGGGCCCCCTGCCTCAGGGAGACCCCTCTGTCCCCAGCCCCTGAGGTCCCTGTTGTGCTGAGCCCCACCACGGTTGGGGGGAGGGAGTCCAGACCTGGGACCTCTTCCCACCAAGAAATGTAGCAACCCGGGCAGGGCAGGTTTGGGGGAGATGGGGGTACCCCAAGGAAGCAAACATGCCAGGGCCATGGCAGCACTATCCCTACCATGCCACAAAAGTGGCTTTAAAGCATTTCTGCAAAGTTGAAGGAAAAAGCTAAGTTCATCTGGGTGGAAAAAATAAATTTCTGGGCACACATATGCACAAGGAAGGTGCCTTCAGAAAATTCCAGAAAAAATGCTTAGGGGTGGGGCAAAGCTATGTGTGAGGCTTAAACCAGAAAAACCAACTTTTTCATCCCATTTTCCACGAGTTTCTTAAAGCTGCCTGGTTCCTGACGCATAAAAGCAAAAAAAAAAAAAAAAAAAAAAATTCTACTTGGAAAAAAGTTGAAAACTCTGTTTTCTGAGAATGGCAGGTGTTGCTTCTATGTTAAGTCGTCGTGTTTTGCTCTGGAGATCTTCTGCGGCAGTCAGGTGGAGAACCAGCTCTGGGTCAGGCTCCGGTCTGACCAAGTTCAATCCCTGGCAGATTGAAGGCCTGCAGTGAGATGTGAGCGGTGATGACCCAGGGTGGGAGGGGGCAGCAGCAAGGGGCCGTCTGGCATGCTACTCTGGTCATGGGTTGGGGTGTCGGCAGTGGCAGGCATTTGCCAAGATGTGCTGCTGGGAGTTTTCCATTGGATTGAAACAGTCCCTCCATGAATGCACACGCATACACAGAGACCTGCCCCTCCCCACCTACCCACCCACCCCGTTTACCAAACAAGCCTTTTCAAACGGACAGGAACCACACGGATCACTTAGGAGTGAAATCCCAAGCTGAGGGGCCGGTGCCCTCTCCTGGGATGGGGTGGGCAGAGAGAGAGACATCTCTGGCTCAAGGGCAGCTGGTTGGCACGGAGCACAGTTCACATCAAAGAGAAAGAGAGAGGAGGCAACTGCTGGGAGCTGCCTGCCCCACCAGGCAGTGGAAAAAGTGGTAACCACACCCAGGGGTCCCAACCAAGTCAGCTGGCAGCCGTGGGGCCTGCTGCGTCCTGAGGCCAGGGCACCCAAGAGGGAATCCAGGGCAGGAACTTGTCCAAGCAGTAACTCTCACTGATGGCATTGGAAATTCTCGGCTAAATAGCCCAGCGTCTTTGTAGTTGGGGTGCAGGCAGATGGCTTGGTTGTCCCCATCAGATGTCAAGCAGGTGGTGACATCACAAGATAAGCACCCAATAAAACCCACTCTGATAGCAGCCACCTCCTTTGCCCTGTGTGGTCAGCAGGTGATCCCCAAGACGGATCTGGAACATGATTTGAGCGACAGTCTTGGCACCACCACTCCCTCCTCCTCTTCCCCCTGTGCACTTTAACTCCTTGAGGGAATATTCCGGAAACAGAGAAAAAGCCTCCTAGCAAAGTGGCCCCTGATGTCCCCAGGGACCATCCCCCATGGGGCCAGCTCAGTTCTGCCTCTTCTTCCCCTGGCCTTGTTCAACATAATGACCTTGACTGGGGCCTCATCTGGGAGCTCTTGTCCCTAACCCTTGGTCTACCAAAGCTGGCCTCCTTTCAGCGCCTCCTCCTAACCACTTCTGATTCCTGACCCAATTTTCTTGAACTTTATCATCTGTGTGGGCACTTTCACCAAGGGCAAACAGGTAGTTTTGTTTTTTTTTTTTTTTTTAAAGGCAGGTCAGCCATGTCTCTCAGTCAGGGTTCAACTAAAGAAGGCAAGTAGAAGTATTATGAGACAAGATCTCATAACATCAGTTGATACAAACTACTGCGCTGGCAAGACAGAGCCAAGGGACTGGTGGTACAGCTGTGGAGAAGGGCAGCCCAGGACGCCCTCCCTCAGAGCAGGACTGGAGCTGGGCGGCTCCCAGGCCTCGTGTCACTTTGCCAGAGCCTACTGGACACTGATAACCTTGAGTCACATGACGATCCATTGTCCTCACAACACCTCGGCAGCCACCTTGCAGGCCAGCCATGTCGGTCTACGCACACCATGCACACACACAACAGCGCTGCACACCGTGCACACAACTCCTCAACCCAGAGGCGAACACAATGCTTTCCACTCCAAGTCCTTCCACCCGAGCTCACTTCCCATCCACTGGACTTCTGGGACCCTGGGTGGGTCTGCCACTTGGAACGAATTAAAAGTGCTTGTGTTGGGCCCGGCGCCTTGGGCAAGCGGCAAAAGTCCTCACCTTGAACACACTGGGATCCCATATGTTCACCGGTTCTAATCCCAGCGGTCCCGCTTCCCATTCAGGCCCTGCTTGTGGCCTGGGAAAGCAGTCAAGGACGGCTCAGACCCTGCACCCACCCGTAAGAGGTTCCTGGCTCCTGGCTCCGGATCAGCACAGCCCCGGCCGTTGCAGTCACTTGGGGAGTGAATCATCGGATGGAAGACATCATCGGATGTCTCTCCTGCTCTCTGTACATCTAACTTTGCAATAAAAATAAATAAACCTTTTAAAGAAAAAGTGCTTGTGTTTGCTCTGACACTGCCCACGGGGGGTGGGGAGAGAACAAGGTGTGCCGAGGCCACTTGAACATCAGGCTTAAGAATCAAGACCGCACCACCCTCCCCAAAGGGCCAAAGTTTGGAGCCTGTGGATGGGAGGGGCCTATCCAGCTGTCACTCAGAGAGCCGGGGTCCTGTCTGCCTCTGTAGGCTCCCAGGGTCTCACCACATGCTCTAAGCAAGAGCAGTTTCTGGCTTCCCCTGCGTGCCTCCCCGTGGTGGGCATGGCCAAGCGAGCTAACCTCATCCAGAGAACTCTCCACACCCACTGCTCTGCACGCACACACCTTTGTGAGCAACCAGGTTTGTGGCCCCACAACCATCCCACACATCCCCTTGCCTCCTACAACCTTGCTCCAACAGCCACATCCGATGCTCTCTGCAGAAGGTGGTTCTTGTTTGAAATTCCAAACACTGAGATTCAGAGGTCAGTGTGGATGGTGAGGTGGGGCTAGACGATGCTGGCGAAGGGGGGTAACAACCCATGGAGCAGGGAACAGGCCCTGACTCCTGCACCTGGGACCCTCAGCATCTCCATACCAGCCCTGCCTGGGCAGGTGAGTTGCAAAGGGCCCTGTTCTTGGGGAAGCCACAGGGCCAAGGGCTGAGGCTCAGCCAGCCCCAGAGATGGGATGGGGAGAAGACAAAGTTCCTGAGAGAGGACCCTGTCCCCAAGAAGGGTGTCAGAAGTTTCTAACACTAGAGAATGAGCCTAGAGTTGGAGGTCCCAGGAAGAGCTGGCACGAATTAAGCACCTGCTGGTATCCTGCCAGTTTCCTGTTTTCGAAGTCAACAGTGGAAGAGCCGTCCTGGACAGCATAGGAGATAGGAAAGGTTTGACCGTATCTGTAACCCCCAGCAGCTGATGACCTGTGTCGAAGGCAATGTTCCTCCCAGAGCCATTTCCGTCCTGCCTGCTGGCGGCCCCCAGGGCACCAGAGAACATTGTTCTTTTGTGTATAAGAACCTAGTCCATCTTTGCTCACAGCCCAGCCTGAGTCTGCCCTGGCGGGAGGAGCCTGAGACAGCAATTGAGCCCAGGGACTAAAGTGCGGGGACATCTTGCCTGCCAGGGCCAAAACGACCTCAGCTGAACTTTTGCCTGTCTTACAAACTCAGACCGCGGCACACTCAAAGTCATAGCGCCAGAGCCGGTGCTGGGGTACCCCCGGGGTTCTTGGGTCCCTCGTCCTGCTGCTGAGAGGTAGCCAAGTTGAGCTGTCAGCAGGGCAAAGGGCGTGGGGAGCCCTGGCAGTGGGGAGCTCGGGGTGGAGGGACAAGAGCTCCCAGATGAGGTTAAGCAGGGTCATTTTTTTTTTTTTTTTTTTTGAGTGAGGTCAGGGACGGAAGAGGAGGAGGTGGCGGTGGAAGCCCCTGCTCCCCGAGGCATTGGGGGAACCTGAAGACACAAAGGAAACTCTCCTTGGAGCCCCATTCCTCCTGGGCCCTCCCCTGTTGACTCCACAGCAGCCCTGGGCCGCTGGAGCCAAGGTCTGCGGTCAGCTGCTCACTCAGCCTCAGACTGAGACCTTGGCCCATCTGGCTTCCCCCAAACCCTGGATCTCTCATCTGCCTATCCCTCATCCCCTCCACTCCACCACACCCCCAGCACCCCCCACATACACACACACACCCTGTATCCCATCCTCCCCCATCCCCTACCTCCCTGGATGGTGAGGACCAAGTTCCAAGAGAGTTGTACAATTATACAAAACCACAGCTAGAAACAGGTGCCTGTCGGGTGGGACACCTGCCACTTCACACTGCAGTGTGTGGCTTTTCCCTGTATCTAAAAACCTCAC